CATACATAAAAATGTGTATAGATTTAAATTGTCATACTGGTTCTGACTTATGTTAGTTAGTGCTGGTTTGGTGCTGTTCACCAGCATAACTTAGCAAGTGTTGCAGAATGACCAGTACGATCTTTATGGTGAAACTGGTTGAAATAACTGTAAGGAAGCCAGCATCCAAAACGTATCATATGACATATTTTCAGTGGAGTGTTTTATGGTTTTGCTACTTTGCTTTGGCAGATGCATACATAACTAGTGTCTCAATGGAAAATACTGTCTATTCTATCTTCCATCTCTGTTTAGTACTCTCTTCATTTACAAAGGCAGAGTAACAGTGATGATTTGGTTGGATCTCTGCCATGCCACGAGATTCCCCACCGGATTGATCTCAGAGGGAGTCCGCAGCAGCAGAGGTCCATCGGGGTGAGAAATCACCCCACAAACATTGCCATTTCACAAACTCAGCATGGTCTCAGTAGGCTGGTGTGCATTTATGTGCACGCAAGAGAAATAGCAGCATTACAAAACGGACAGCATTTCATTTTAATGTGTGTTTTTACACACTTCAAGTGTGTGCTTAGAGGGATTTGTTCTTTTTGTATGTGCCCCGTGCCAAACTCTGCTTGTGAGACAGAAGTGGTTGGGAGGTAAATAATGTAGTCATCAAGGATCTCAGAAAGCTTGGGAGACTTAGCCAAAAAAAAATTGTCTGAGAAATTATCATAAATAGCCTTGCACGCAAGAGAAATAGCAGCATTACAAAACGGACAGCATTTCATTTTAATGTGTGTTTTTACACACTTCAAGTGTGTGCTTAGAGGGATTTGTTCTTTTTGTATGTGCCCCGTGCCAAACTCTGCTTGTGAGACAGAAGTGGTTGGGAGGTAAATAATGTAAAGTCATCAAGGATCTCAGAAAACTTGGGAGACTTAGCCAAAAAAAAATTGTCTGAGAAATTATCATAAATAGCCTTGATGAGATTTAATTGGAGATTGAATAGAAGAAAGACCGCGAGAGGACAGAGAAGCGCAGTGAAGGCGAGCTGGAGTGACTGTCTATTGAAACGATCCTGCGCTCTCTGTCTAACTGTTAATGGCTGGTGAAAGTAGGCCAGTGTTTCTGTTATTATGGCCCACAGATCTCTAATGCCTTTGATGCAGGGCAGCTCATTGTGGGCAGCGGTTTTTTTTTTCTTTCTCTCAGATCTATACGCAGACACACACATTTGTTCCCTCACTTATAATAAGGTCTCATTTGGAATGGCGCTGGCCTTTTTGGAGCCAGGGGCTTAGTAGCCTTATTTTCACCTATAAACAGAGGTAGGCGATTGCACTCAGGGACCCTGCAGCTCTGGTTGTGCTGAACTTACTATGAGTCTCTCTCTCTGTTCTTTCTGCCTCAAAAGTCACTCTCTCACATATTTGTCTGCACACTTTGGCTTTCAGCCATCCAATAAGTATTATTGTGTTTTCCCTTCCTTCTTTTGTGTGCTAGCTGTGTGAGCTGCTTTTGCTTGCTAGCTTGTCTCTGTCTCTCTCTCTCACACACACACACATCCAGGGATGTTGGAGGGTCAGCTTCCACTTTAATCTAGGAAATAATTCCATTTCCCATTAGCGTAATTAATTGGGAGCTTACTGCAGCACGAAAATGTAGAGGACTAATGTGTGCTCAACGTGTGGTCTTACTCTGTGTGTGTGTGTGTGTGTGTGTAAGTGTACAGAGTGCTGAAATAGTGTTATGGCTGGCTGATTAGCATAGTCGTTTATGATGAATGAACCATAAATGGCCTCCATAGCCTTGACAGGACAGGCAGAGAGTTCACAGACAGCCTCCATAGCCGTGACACGACAGAACGAGGATTCGCAGACGGCCTCCATAGCTGTGACAGGACAGGCAAAGAGTTCACAAACGGCCTCCATAGCCGTGACAGGACAGGACGAGGATTCACAGACGGCCTCCATAGCCGTGACAGGATAGGATGAGAATTCGCAGACGGCCTCCATAGCCGTGACAGGACAGGACGAGGATTCACAGACGGCCTCCATAGCTGTGACAGGATGAGCAGGGAGTTCAGCTAACACTTGGTCAGTGCTAAACGCAGAACAATACTCGGCAATCGGAGCAGGAACTGAGTGGGTGTTATGTAGTGTGTGTGATTGGTCTCAGGTGAGCGTGTGATTAGTGAAATGGTGCATGGGAAATGTAGTCCGGATTTGTGACAAAAATATTGAGTCAGATATTCTGTGTTGAAAAATGATGGTCTTTCTTTGGTCATTCTTACGTTCTGTACGTTCATGTATATAAAAAAAACAGAAATACTGTTATAATATAATACTTGTTTTAAAATTAAATAATAATCAGCTTCTTTTGTCATTGTACTGTTGTACTAAAACCAAAGAACATTTTGAAAATATTAGGTGGAAAATATTTACTTAAAGGGTTAGTTCACCCAAAAATTTTAATTCTGTCATTAACTACTCACCCTCATGTCATTCCAAACGTGTAAGACCTTCGTTCATCTTCGGAACACAAATTAAGATATCTTTGATGAATTCTGAGAGCTCTCTGATCCTCCATAGACAGCAAGGATATTACCACGATCAACACACAGAAACGTAGCAAGGACATCGGTAAAATAGTCCATGTAACATCAGGGGTAAAACCGTATTTTTACAAAGCTACGAGAATACTTTTTGTACGCAAAGAAAACAAAAATACAGACTTTATTCAACAATTCGTCTCCTCCGCGTCACCCTGGTGCCATTTTGGAGAGTA